GCTACTGCTGCCCGAATGTACACGGCTTGCGCTGCAAGTTATTTATGAATATACACGAAAAAAAAAAAGCAAAAATGTTTTTACACTGAATTCCTTGGTTCTGCCGAGTGCTCGCTGAATAATTAATTTCGACAGGAAATTAGTACCAGAGAGCCCACACTAAAAACATAAGGCACTTTCTGTTTTTTCCCAAAAAAATCCATGCGATATTTTAGGCAAATTGAACCAAATAGCACTTTGGCCAAGGAAAAAACAGCTGCTTCTGTCGAAAAATGGGTACTTTACTGATATGGGACAACATTTCAGGAGCTTGATCTAAGATATGAGTTTTTTACTGTTTAATACTATTTTCTCGCCTATCTTTTCCGCTGTCTGAATGGGCTAAAACCTGTTGTATTGAAACGGTTAATTTTTCACCCGTCTGGCAAAAATGCGAAAAAATATGGGACAAAAAAAAATGAGACACCATGTGCAGGAACCCGAACTTATCGGCGTATGATTTGTGTCATATGTAGTTGCGGGGAATCAGCAGTTCTAGTGTGGTAATTAGAGTGATTTATAATCACTCAGACAAGCAGACTGACTGAATATATAATCAAATTTAGCACGGAAAGCCGAAATAGCATTGCTATTCTATTCACTTCCCCCCTCCCCCCCGCACTCCCTCCTCCCCTCCCCTCTCCCCTCCTTCCCCTACTGGTGTCCACTGCCCTCCTCTTGAACAAAATCTGCAATAATCAAAGCCTTAGCCATATCAAGCTTTAGCTGAAGCTATAAAAACTGAAAAAGGCCCAGCATGCAGAAAGAAAACCTGTGGTCCCTACCTCCTACCAAATACAAATCTTCTGCGCAATCACAAAAATACTATTAATATCCATGCTAACGGTCACATTTTGATGATTATTAAAACCACTGTGAACTCTCCTGCAAGCCATCTAAACTAATTATTAAGCAGCTTAGTTTGCCAGAACGATGTATGCATACAAGCACCAATTCCAAGAAGAGATTTAGTGCTCAAACGAAGAAAAAGAAAATCTGAAAAGCAAACTTCTATCAAATCAGCTGGCAGATCCAGCCAGGAGATAACCACAGCGCCTTAACTCATGTGATCTTAGACAATGACAAGCAAGTGGGCAAAAAAAGCCAAAACAAAGGAAGAATTGATTTAGCGCTTCCACACCTCGCTCGCCGAAAACAAACATCCACCACTATCTTTCGCTCTCCCTCTTTCCCTCATCCACCCCCAATGCATTCTTAACACTAAGCACTGATGGCCGGATGAATGCTTACTTAATCCTACCACAAATCCTCTTCTTCCCCCTACTGCTCATTATTGGTCTACGAAATTGCGCTTTGTTGATTTTCACAAACTTCGCCAAACAACATTTCTTGGATTGAAATTTGATCCAGATATAACGACAAAATGGGTTTCTTCTTTCTATTTCTTACTACATTTGTTACTATAGTTTATTAGATTAGTTATCCTATTTTAGACCAGATACCATAAATTAAATTTTAATCCAATGAATTTGAAAAGGAAAATGGGAACGGACAACCCTGGCTCAAAACACCTGGAAAATAAAGTGACTGCACTTGCTCAGTAACGACCGCGGCGAATTACACACAAAATAGTTTTAGATACTGATTTTTATCCC